TCCCAGCTCTACACGAGCATTTTTTGCAAAGTTATAGAATTTGCAACAAAAACCCTAAATTGATCTCGTCTTATTTCTGTAGCTTTGAGCTGACAATAAACATTTCAGGAATGCTCGTGTAGAGCTGGAAGACGTCTCATTTTAATCAGAAATTTCCAGGCTACAATCATGCCTTATGAAGAAACGTTTCGGTTATTGTTTAGAGTTTGTGGAAAACCGGGTCGTCAAGAACCATGGGGATAAATCCGTTTAGGCTTTTTACCATCTCGATATAGGCTATCGATTGATGTATGTTGCAAAGAAATCGGAGTTGGACAGCTGGTAATGTTTCCCCGTTAGTTATGTAGTCGGAGGGAGGCCTAATGCCCAAATTTAGTAATAGAACGATATCTATTTCAATGTTTACATTACTTGGTTGCTACCCACAAGACGTTTTTTTGTGACTTTGCTCGTATGAATATTGCAAAAGAAAGTTTCATACGGGATTTTCAGCAAATGGCAAACGTTTTTAGCCCTCTTGTGTCGACAAGCGCAGCACTGAAATCGAAACTTCCGTTCTCCCGGAATGATGGATAAAATGACTTTGGATTGGACAACCAGCATGCAAATTTGAGGCATGAAACTTTAAAAGCTGATGTTTTGTCAACTTACCAGCATTGAATCCGAAGTCCTTTGAAAAACCAATCCACATCTTTCAGACCTAAACTAGCGATTCCGGCTTCATCTCCACGATAGCACTCCACAAGAGCTTAACAGAAGCCTCAAGCAAAAGAAAGGTGTTTCACGCTTAGCTTGTCATGATGCCGTTAACAAACTGCCCTTATTTTTAGAGACTGGCCTCGTTATGGCAGGAAACTTTTTTGCACCAGATAAACAATGGAACTGGGTGAAGATACCCGATGCACGAAAGCCTTACATTCGTTTTCTATCATCAACAGAAGATGATTCATCAGGAAAAGAATTAATTCATTTGCCAAATGACCCCTTCTTAGCAGTAGATATTTCAAATCGTCCAGATGGTTCATATTCTACCGGTGATTTATTTATTGAAGTAACACCAAATTCTGGTCATTACATTATACGAGGACGAAATAATGATACTATTGTTCATATTAATGGTGAAAAAACAAATCCAGTTCCAATGGAAAAGATAATACGAAATCATTCAATTATAAAAGAAGTTGTTATTCTTGGTCATCAACGTTTTTGTACATGCGCATTAATAGAGCTTAATTTTGATGAAGCATCCCAATATGACTTTGAACAAATTGAAGAGAAAGTATTATATGCATGTAAACAAGCTAATTTAACTGCACCAAGCCATTCACGTTTAATAAAAGAAATGATTAAAATACTACCATTGAGTAAACATTTACCAGTTACACATAAAGGTAATCCTGTTCATTTTATCTTAAACAGGAACCTAATAAGACTATTGTTCGAGCCCTATGGAGAAAAATATTAGAAGAACGGATGAGAGTGGATAAGACACGTTTTCGTCTTCAGATTCGAAAAAATCTATCGAATTATAGGTTATTCGACATGCGGAAGAAAATGGCTTAGTCAACTGTTCAAAATTCCAACTTTCGATTTTTCATGCCTGTGGTACCCCTCCCCCAGTTGACAATGTTTTTCTCCATTCTCCTTCAAAAGACATGTGACAGATGAAGCTTTTTGCGCTGATTTCGAATGTGATATCGGTATTGGAAGTAGGCCTGTAACAGTTCACGTTTCGTTCCTTGACCGAGAATGCTAAAACACTGTTCTGTGTACGTTACGTTCAAAGGGAACGCTAAGAAGGAAAGTTGAGCTTTTGCAGGCCTAGTTCGAAGAAAGGTTAGTTTTCATGGAGAAAATCTTGTTTTGTTGTCATAGTCCATGGCCAGCTGAAAAATTGCTGCTTAAAAAAGTGATTTTATTTTCAAATGCACTTTGCGACCAATGAAAAAGCGAACTTGTGCAAAGATGAACGTAATGGGAAATAAATAGTATTTTCCGAATGAGAGATGGGTCTTGTATAAAAGTATAAAATATCTTTCGGATTCTTCCACAAAAAAGAATTAGGGGTCGACACAGTGAAATGATAGAATAAGATGATTGTCAAGGACACCAGCGCCTTTTTTTCAACCATTTTCGGATTTCATACCTCGATAGCGGTGTCTTCGATAGTTACAGGCAAAATGGAAAAGAATCTTCTCAATATTTTAACCCTAAAAGGTATTTATTATTTAATAATTTTCCCTGGTTGAAACTTCTCGTTTAATGCATCTTTGTAACGCTGAAAAACTAGTGCATTCGCAGGTTATCCATGTTTTATTCGAAAAAATAAAAAAAGATCCATGTTTTCGAGTCCAGGGACTATCAGGGAATTTGAGATCATAAGAAAAGAGTAGTGTGCTTTTCAATATTTGGAAAACATGTTTTCCCGACACTTTTCCGACATATATCAATTTTAAAGGATGCAGTATTTTGTACGTATTTCCGCATAGAGCAAAAACGCAGAGAAAACTAAAATCGATGTAACTCAGAAGAAAATCAGCTAAACATATTAGCAACGTCGCATTTCACAGGAAATGCTCAGGACCATCTTTTTCGTATGATCAGAAAATATTCTTGCTAACTCTGAGTTCTCACCAAAACGTTGGCAAAATATATTTTCCAAATATTGACAAGCATACTACTCTTTTCGTATGATCTCAAATTTTCTGACAGCAAAATAAGATTGTCTCCGTGAAAACTACCCTTTCTTCCATCAGCGATATGATACTGGAAATCAGCGTAAAAAGCTTCATCTGTCACATGTCTTTTGAAGGAGAATGGAGAAAAACATTGTCAACTGGGGAAGGGGTACCACAGGCATGAAAAATCGAAAGTTGGAATTTTGAACAGTTGACTAAGCCATTTTCTTCAGCATGTCGAATAACCTATAATTCGATGGTTCTTTTTCGAATCTGAAGACGGGAACCTTCGAATCTTGGAGACGAAAGCTGTCTTATCAGCTCTCATCCTTTCTATGGATATAAAGAGTAGACCAGAACTACTGAAACGTTCTCATATTCCCAGATTTATCAGTTCATTTCGGTGACTCTGGCCCACCCTTTAGCTTAAACGATAGTGATACCACTTGCTTTTCATAAAGTATTAAGAATTCGTAAGATTTTGACTAGGGTGAAAACAAATGATTCTCATGATAATAATCGATGTAACCTCTTCTTAGTTCTAATTTCTAACACTTCACTGATGAGACTCAGAATTCCTAGTTTACGAAAAATTCGGTCATTACCCGTGATAAGATCGCTATATAATTAAATTAATTTACACAATTAAGAAAATTCATGCATATCGAACATAGAAGATTTTCATGAATGCTTAATCGATTTTTTCAAATATTTGTTTTTTGTCAAGGGAATGTAAAAAGAAATCAAGTTGTTGATGATTATTCAACCCTAATTGATGCAATGTATAACAAGTTTTTCAATGTTCAAAATGTACAAGAACAACAACAAAAACAGAATTGGACAAATGAAAAAATAAAAAACTATCTAAAGGAAAAAATACCAATTAAATCAATTGATTATGATAAATCATTATTCGATTCATATTCATTTGATTCATTGAGCGTAATGCAATTACGACATAATATATGTAATGATATTGTTCAAATAGAACAAAATTTCATATATGAACACTCATCGATTAATAGTATGGCAAAACAGTTAATGAGATTATTAGACAAACAACAGCAACAATCAAATGATGGTGATGATGATAGTGATGATCCATATCGTTATAAATTAACTGAACATATTATTGATAAATTTAGCCAATTAATTAAACAAGAAACGTTAGGTAAGAAAAATACTGAGATATTTCCACAACATTTTATAATTTTCACAAGTCAATCATGCGATCTGTATCTCATTTTGATATTATGGGTGATTCCATGAAGTGAATACCACACTACGGCTCGACTTTGTCGAAGTCGTTCGAATAGGTTGGAAAAGTATAGCCCGAAGCCTAGACAAAATTCTGCGCACTCCCTATCTATTTCCTACTACGACAGAATCCTAACATTTAGGATTAATCTAATAACTACCGAGCAGGAGTTTAAAATGCCAGGATACTACTAGAATATCGCTTAAGTTTATTTCGGATTCTAACAGAATCTTAGAAATCGTATGACTTTTGAGTATACCTGATTTCATTAGGATTCTGTAGGACTTTGCTAGAATCCTAAGAAATTAAACCGAAATCCTAATAGGATACTGGTAGGATATGTCTTGGATCCTGCCAAGAACCTCACAGGACTTTTACTAGGGAAATAACTTGTCCGTTCTCTATAAAAGGTGGACATTAAACTAAGGACGTGATTGGATAGCTCAGAGCATTTATTCCTACAATCTGTACTATTTTGGTCATTATCAAAGGTTCATGACGGTTTCGAAGAGGTTTTCTAGAAGGTCTAAAATATCGACTTGAAAAGCGAGTTATTTTCCAAGCGGCGAACATCGTTGCAAAATTGAGTTGGTTTCAAATTGAAGTTCAAAGTCGTATTATGTACGGATTTTTAATTTCGGTTTCTCGCAGTTTTCAATTTTGAGAAAAATTTGAAGCAAAATGTTTATAGATTTGGTTACTACGTCATTGCTGTTTTTGTCTGTCATTCTTAGACTAACCTGCGCTCTTCGTCGCGTGATATATGAGAAAACCTTCTACTTGGAGGAAGCCCTCGTTTTACATCTCGTGAACAATGATAAGCCAAGCGAAAGCTTCATCGCTATACTCGGACATGGTCAACATTCTCCGAAAGTTTATTGAAATTCGACTTATGGCTGTCGAAATAGGCTTGGACTTTAGGTGTCTGAATCGTGCCAAAGAGGATGTGTCTAAAGGATGATCTGCAGCATTTCTCTTTTAGGCGCACTTAATTCAGCATCAACCACAATAACAAATAAAAACCGAGTATTTCTTATAACTGGGGCAAATGGTTCACTTGGCAGTTGGATTATTCGTGATTTATTATTGCGGTCAAATGTTGATAAAATTTATTGTCTAATACGTGGTCCTGATCAAGCACGTTTTTATCAAACATTTCAACAACGTAATGATGAACAAATTCTTCACGATAATGAAAAACGTTTTATTGTATTAGATTCAATGGATTTAAGTCAACAATATCTAGGACAAACAGAAGAGATGTATAAAGAATTGCAGGAAAATGTAACTGATATTATCCATTCAGCATGGAAAGTGAATTTTAACTTAACAATAAAAGATTTTGAAAATGATTGTATTAATGGCACATATCATCTATTGAAATTAGCCAAAGCAAAGAAAATGAGATTTCATTTTATTTCAAGTGTTTCTTCAGCTGGTTCAGGTCAAATAATTAAAGAAGAACCATTACCAAGGCAACCAGGATTGCCACTGAAACAAGGTTACGGACAATCAAAATACGCATCAGAACATATATGTTGGATAGCAATGAAAGAATGGGGTATGTTGAACTAAACTTGAAATATAGATCTCACCATTTATGGATAAAGTTCGAATGATAATTCAACGGGCTCTGAAACTATTTTTGGAGCGATTACTGAAAAGCTTCTCATAGTTTTGAGAAACAAAGTTCTTAGGAGGTTCATAGGAGTGTAGCTGTAGCAGTTTTCGTTCTCAACTATCAACGGTAATTCATCAGTTGAAGTTCTAAACTCTCAACTGTATCTCAACAGTTGACGTTCTGAACGGTCAACAGTACTTTTATCAGTCGAAATCCACTGAACTAAGATGCTTCAATTAGTGATATCTTCATTTTTTCAGGGGGAAAGAATGATTTAAGTGAAAATCTCTTGTCTACCAAAAATGTTTAAGAAATCTGTCTGTTTTTTCCCTTTTTTTGCCTCTTTTCTTCAATTATGTTTCTTCCTCATAACTCAAGTGTCAACTAAGTCTAATGATAAAAATACGTTTTGTGAGGAAATAAGAAGAAAAACGTTGAAAAAGGATTAGGTCAGACACCATATATAGGCGGCATCTCGTCGAAGAAACTGATTGATCAATTTATCCAATGGAATAGGTAATCGCTTTTGGACAATCCGGAAATGACTATGAGGGACGTCTAGGATTGGTTCTATTGGTCGAAAACTTGATTTCTATTTGGTTGGATGAAAATGATTTGGAATAAATTGATTGAAATGATCAAAATTGATTTTGTGATAAACACATAGAAAGCTAGCCTGAAGTGTCTGCTTTCACAATCTGTATCACTTTAAAAGGTTTGAAAAGTTTGTCGGCGACATGGGTTTTTTAAGTGGTCCATTGTAAAAAGGGTGTTTTTCTACTTTTAAGCATAAAAAGTAATTTTTGAAAACCTTGTCAGCGATTGTGCGATACCGAAGAATTTCTGAGAAAAATTTTCGCTGACGAAGTTGTAGCTGATGTCATTCTGCATGGAATAAGCGGAACGGAATTTCAAGAAAAGTTTTGAACAGAAGTTAAATGGATATTAAAACATTTTTAATTTTATAATTTTTTAAAGTTTTAGTCATTAGAGAAAATAAACTGTTCCGCTTATTCCACGTAGAATTTCATAGCGAACAACTTTTGTTGCAACACGTTTTATGAATATGCGTTGTGTAGTCAGAATCCGTGGCAAGGTTTTGGGGTGCCGATCCCTGCAATAAGGGCTTTCAAAACCCCCAGCAATTTTCATATTCAGTAAGTTTTATTTGAAACATAGTGGCTAGATAGTCCAAATTGGTCTCTGCAATTCTGCACAAGTTCTAAACTCTCAACTGCATCTCAACAGTTGACTGAACGGTCAACAGTACTTTTATCAGTCGAAATCCACTGAACTAAGATGCTTCAATTAGTGATATCTTCATTTTTTCAGGGAAAGAATGATTTAAGTGAAAATCTCTTGTCTACCAAAAATGTTTAAGAAATCTGTCTGTTTTTTCCCTCTTTTCTTCAATTATGT